ATCCTTTGAAATATGATGCAAAATCAAGGCTTTTATTAACCCCTTGTTCTTTCTCCCGTGCCCTTTTTAACACTTTAAACTCAGGAGTGACCCCTGCTCATGGTTTGAACTCATGTTCCAGGTAATCATTAATGTGGCATTTGCCACTGCAATGAACTTCCCAGTTCTTAAGACCTGGAGAAGAAGTAGGACTTGAGAGATGGAATGGCATGGCAGGTAACAGGCATGGTGAACTTTAGATCTGTGGGATGTGTGTAATATTAGTTCATTCTGTAGCTGGATGTGAATGCTATTGATATTTAATATCTTACCAGGAGGGCTGAGTGTTTGAAGGACAAGCATTCATAATTTGCTTTGACATTTGACATGATCAAACAAGTAAAGGAATAATATTCCGTTTCTCCATTGTCAAAAAGATAATGAGTTTTATAACTACTGGTATTATGGGAAAAATATAGCCTGTGTAGTGTAAAATATGTGAGAACTGCTATATATTCTTCTATAAATTGTGTGTATCGTGTTCCTTTGTTGGCCCTATTCAAACCCAGCATGCCCATCCTTTTTAATTTTCTGGTTTGCTGTGCAAGCCTCTGACAAAAAATACTTTTCTTTTTTCTTAATGAAAAAAAGTTTTCCTCGAATTATTTATAGAAAGAGCAGCGCTGTCATCGGGTCTGTCTCATCACATCATTCTCGGGTATCAATTCCTAGGCTCAGATGACAAACCATAGCAGCCACTTTTCCAATAGCAGCATCTGGCTTCCTGGCAAACACGAAATGCAGTTATCTGGAAAGCTTCAGAGTTGCTTCTGAGCACATTTTATTTATTAGAAAGCAGTTGTGTTGCTTTGCTTCCCATGACTAAGCCAAAGAATATTTAATATATTAAAAGGAAGAATAGAATCGAGGCCAAGCTGTTGTCCCTCAAGTGGCAAGGCACAGAGATATATTCCCTTTAGTTTGTTCAGCTCTGAAGGACGACCTGAAACTCTTCACCCTCCCTCCAGATGATCTTTTAAAGGACTAAAAAAAGAAATTCAACCTTGTAATGCCTCAAACAAGATTCAAGTTCACCCTTTCCCAGACTCAACACTCTGAAATTGTGGTGGTGACTTCTCTGCCAGCCTTGCTGGAGGAAGGAGACCCTCCACACAGAGTGGGCTCCTCAGAGGTGAAAGACATGATGTTCTTGCAGTATATGATGAATGGCAACAGAAAATAATACGTGGGTCTGGGAGTCAGATACTGCACCAACCCACAGAAAAAAGAGAATTCAGCTTTGTTTTGCCACTGAATTTATAAGCTTGGCAAGTCATTTGGATCCACCTCTGCAAAGGTCTCCTAAGGTAGTTCAGTAGGTGTCATGATAATCTACAAAACCTGATCCAAAGTACGTGTTCCAGGAACAATTTTAGTAGTACTCCTTCTTAAACATACCTGTGACATAACTGATACCTTCTGCCATGCTTGGGATTCTTGAAAAGGTAATTTGCTCAGGCTGGAGATTTGAAGCTCTGCTGCTAATCTGGTGAGTTGAATCCAATCCCACCACTGCCCTGTGGACAAAAGGAGATTATCCAACCCTGTACAAAATGCATGAAACATTTCTCCAGTTCTCCATATGTGGCATAATCTGAAGGAAGTCATTAAGGATTTTTTTCCCTCAATATCAGCATCCAATTTGATAGGAAAGACACCAAGACCTATAGGAGATGACAATCTCCAGTGATATAGATGTCCCTATAGCTTTAGGACATTCCTAGATGCCGAAATTCATCCTCACATGCACATAGCTAAAAGCTGAGAAAGAACAAGGAAGGATGAAATATCTGTTCTGGGCTTTGATGATGCTTAGACTGTATCTACATCAAAAGCTCTATTTAATTGAAGTGATTATTTTCATTCTGAAAAAAGAACTCTCTCGAGTTCTTCTTGAGCAGTTTCCAAAAGTTTCTTGTAGTGAAATTCTAGTGTTATTTTTCTAGATGATAGATTAAAAAAAAAGATAAATTAAAACCACTAATCTGTTCAAGTCAATGTGTTTGACACTTAACAGCAACATTGCTCAATGGTAACATCTTGCAGTTTTCTTCTGATACCGGTGGTGTCTCTGGGGCAAGATTTTATTAGTGACAGCTCTCACTGAATTCAGTGAAAGCCAAAGTTTCGTCTCCAAAGTAACTGTTTTTCAGTTCAGAAATAAAATGATCAGGCACAAGATTTCATTTAAAGCTTCGAACATCAACGTCAAGGAATCAAAACAATTCTGTTTCAAGTTTTCTGTTTCTCCAGGGTGGGAATTATTTCTGGGTTTGGACTCTCGTCCTTGCACGGCGTCGTGCCAAATCACAGGGAGAAGCTGTGGGGCTTTCTCTTTCTCATTGTCCTGAACTTCTGTCCCTGGTCTGAGCTCGGAACAATTGGGTCTTAATTCTGATTGAGGATGGAGGAGGCAACTGCAGTGCAAACCACCCTGCCAAGGCTGCTCTGCTGCCACATTCAATGGCAGCATTATGAGGCTGTATCAGAAGCAAAGCCTGCAAATCAAAGGTTACATGGTGGGCAGCCTTTACTACATCCAGAGGGTCAGGCAGATTTCATGTTTAAGAAAAGACTACACGCTTTTTTTTGCTGTTGAGGAGCGTAAGCACTTTTGCCTTCCTTCCGCCACAAATGGAGATTATTCAATGGTTGGATTTAATGAATTCAAAATCCTTAGAAAATCACTAGAGCCAGACATCAATGTAAAATACTCCACCAGCTTTCAGTAGTGGAATATAATATTAGCTCTCCCACAATCTACTTCATGCATTTCAAAAGAATAGAGAACATTTTTAAACTAAAGGAGATAGCTTGGGCACAAAATGATTGCCTGCCTTGGATGCTGCTCTGTAACCCTTCAGGAGCCTGAGTTATTTCTCTCGGGGCAGTAAGAAACAGAAACAGATACCTTCTTTGCAAAAATGGGAGGGGAAGGAAGAGGGCATTTTATTAACAAATTCTGTTAATGTGCTGTTACCTTGCACAGTCAGTAGGAGCGTTGCTGCAGGGCTGGTGGCTGTGAGCCTGTGGAAACCCTGGTGTTGTGTGTCCCCTTTCTGCTGGTGGAGGCTGCTGAGGAGCCACCAGACCAACCTGTGGTTGGTTTGTCCTATCTCTTGTGGCGCATCTGGGCCAGGAGCACTGGAGGAGGACATTTCTGTGCTGTGGGGGCACCTGCCCTGGTTAAAGCCCACCCAGCCCTTCCCCTCCCTCTGCTCCTCGCTGTGGAGAGACAGCCATAAGCATCTCTCCCAGGCAATACAGTAATACAAATAAATAATATTAATTAAGGCTCGATAGCTTTAAAAAGCCATGGAAATAGCTTCTCTCCTGCTGTTTCAGTGTCTCATTTTCCCACTCTGTCCAAACCCCTGAAGCCCAGAGGTACAAACATATATTTTAAATGAGAAGTTTGTTGAACCTCATTAAACTTAAATGCTCAATCCAGGTTTTTTGAACGAGGCTTCACTCTGCCTTTGAGTTTACCTGATTTCGTTCTTCCATCCCTAATGGAGACATTCATTTAGAAGGTGATTTTTGCAAAGGCACTGATAGACCTACAAACTAAAACTGAAAAAAAAAAAAAAAAAGAGCATAATTTACATGCTTAAACCAAGCATCTAACTTGGGAGCTCTTGTGTGTTTATAGGCTTCATGTCTGAGCAGTTTGCCGAGGCCTCTGCGAAATGAAAGACCAGCTTTTAATTTGTATTTGCTTTTTTGCTTTCCCAGTTTTTTCTGAAGAGAAAAAAGGACGAGCAGCTGAAAAGCTTCCCTGCGTTGGTATGCTGAGCAGTGGAGTCACACAAGCACCTGCAGCCATCCACGCACTGCTCCAAGAGCGCTGTATTTCTCGAGGTTTGTAGCTCTTGTCCTCCCACTCCCTAATTCATATACATAAAACTGGTGTGCTGCCACGTTCCCTCCACACAAGTGCATTAGCTGATCAGGAAGCCTTCCCATTCATCTGGCTTGTCAGTTGGATGAGGTGGAGGCAGGACCGGCTTGTCAGCTCGCAGTGATGAGAGTGAGGGGTGGAAGACAGGATAGCGCGACAAAAATGGTGTCGATATTTCTCCCCTTGGTTTTTCCAAAGGAAAATATTTTCAGGTGCTGGATTCTCTCCATCCCCTTCCAAAAAGGAGAAAACCAGCAACCCAAATACTTGCCTACAACCTCCTTGTGTAACTAATCGCAGAGTGAGGCTGCAGGAGGGAATCATGGCTAACCCCCCTCGCTGGCTCTGCTGTAGCTCCCCAGCAATGTGGGCATCTTCTTGGAACTGCGACACCTCATCCCCACCGTGCTTGGCACCGTTTCCACGGTGATTTCCAGGGCAGCCCATGCAGCAGAAGTGGTGTGGAACCCACCCGAGAGCGAGAAGTGGAGGTGCAGAGCTTTGCACCCCTTGAGTGGGCAACACCTTCCTGCTCTGCAGACAGAATCCTGGCTGGGCTCTGGCGAGTTGCAGGTTGAGAGCCAAACTCGCCCAGCACTCACACACCTTCATCCCCTCTGAATTTCACAGAATCACAGAATGCTCTGGGTTGGAAAGGGCCTTAAAGACCATTTCATTCCAACCCCTTGCCATGGGCAGGGACACCTTCCAAGGTGTTGCTCCAAGCCCCGTCCAACCTGGCCTTGAGCACGTCCGGGGATGGAACACTTCAGACGAGCCCGCCCAGACCAAAGGACCGGAGCGATGCTCGCGTTGCGGACCCGGGGCCGGGGGCCGGGCTACGTCCAGCATCCCGTCGGGGGTGCCGGGAGGGTCCGTCCCCTCGGTGCCCGCGGCCGGGCCGCCCCTCCCTCACTCGCTGCCTCTCCCCGCGGCCGGGGCGGTGCGCGGGGGCGCGGCTGGCGGCGGAGCCCGGCCCCGCGGCGGCGAGAGCGGCTCCCCCCGCCCGCCCGTCCCCGCCGCGCCCCCGCCGCCGCCTCCGCCCCCCGCCCCGTGACTCGGAGCCTCCCGCGGGCGGCGGCGGCTGCCGGGCGGTGTCGTGCGGCCCCCCGCGCCCGTGCGGGGACTATGAAGCACCATGGTGTGGTGTGACCGTGGCGTCCAGATGCTGCTGACCACCGTGGGCGCCTTCGCCGCCTTCAGCCTCATGGCCATCGCCATCGGCACCGACTACTGGCTCTACTCCAGCGCCCACATCTGCAACGGCACCAACATCACGACGGACGAGGCGCAGGGGCCGCCGCGGAAGGCGCGGGGCGATCTCACGCACTCGGGGCTCTGGAGGATCTGCTGCCTCGAAGGTACCGCGGCCGCGCCGGGGATGGGGGGAGCAACTTCCCGGGGGGACTCGGCTGCGCTCCTGGAGCCGCCGGGCAGAGCCCAGCCCGAGCCAGAGCCCGAGCCGGAGCTGCCGGGCTGAGCCCGAGCCGGAGCCGGGGCCGGAGCCGCGCCGGTGCCTCGGACACGGCCGAGGAGGAGGATGGCGTTACCGTGGCAACCGGCATCTCCGACATTGCCATGGGAACCGGCGGCGGGATGCGGAGCGCTGCCCAGGGGAGCGCTGCCCGGGGGGGCGACCTCACTCTGTACCCATCGCCGGGGCTTCAGGGCTTTGGGGGGCTCCTGGCGGGGTCGGGGTGTTTGGGTGCTTCGGGGCGCATCTGAGCCCTGCAGGCTTCGGGGCTGGCGCCCCCCAGGGACTTGGGCTTCAGGGGCTTTGGGGCTCAGCCACAGCTCTCGGGCAGGACAGCGGGAACTCCGGTTGCTCCCAGTCTAGCCAGACACGCACGCCGGGAGCCCGGGTGAGGGTGGTGTTGCCACCGCTTAGGTGCTTCATTGTGGACTCGGGGTTACTTAATACGGCTCAAGGGTCAGGCTGAATGATATTAGCAATAAAAAGATGAGTGTTTCAGCGGCTGAGCTGGGCAGCAGGGACACCCCGCTTCCCGCAGAGGCCGAACATGTGGCTCCCGCTCTGAAAAATGGAGTTGTGGAGAAGGCGCGGCGGTAACTGCCGGGACAAAGAAGCACATGGGTGTTGGGAGGATTTGGCATAGCAAGATCGGGGAGTCCAGATGGGAAACCACATCTGTCAGGCGAGAGCAGGGAGCTCTGACCGTGGGAAACCAGCACATCCCCAGGAAAGGGGCCGTGGCCACGGGGGCTCTGAAGCCCCTCACCTGCTGGGTCCATTCCCTCTGTGATGCTGGAGAAAAGGGAGAGTGTGGAGGAGAGTGTGGAGGAATGGGAGAAGTGTGGAGGAAAGCTGTTCACTTCTGCTGAGCCGCTTTGTGGCTGCCAGGGGTGGGGGTACCCCGGAGTCTTTCTCCCCTCGGTGATGCACTTGGTGGACAGGGAGCTGTGCACCCAATTCCATCAGCCCAGCTGAGCACACGTGAACTTTGCCAGCCTGGGTTTGTGGTTTATTCCAGCTGACAGACGGCGCAGCCCAGACGAGCCCAGCTCTGGTTCAGAGTCGCAGCTGTGTTCAGAATGGTTTTCCTCCCCAGAAAAGGCTGTGGCGTGGTAGGAGCACCTCATCCTCACGTCTGTTCTCATCTTCTCCTTTTGCTAACAATTTTAAGGCTACAGTGTAACATTTTTCTCCTAAAATGTTGGATTCGCTACCTGTAATAGGATGCCTATCTAGGATAGCTGTAGGACATGGAAATATTTTTAGATGATCAAGAGAGAAAGAATTACTGAAATGTGAAGGTTTATGGGTAATAATAATGCTTGACTTTATGACTCCTAAAGGGAATCTAACTCTCGGTATGGGCTTTTATAGCACCTGGAAAACAAGGGCTTGCATCTGAGAGCTCCTGAGTTTGCTCGAGAGATGCTGAGCCTCCTCCACTTGAACTGAATCCTGTGATCTTCGCTGAGCTTGTCCTAATGTCTTTTCCATGGAAAACAAGTTTGTTTGCATCTTGCAGGAGTTGCTGAGCTTGCTCGGCTAGAATGGGCCTGTCATCTCCGGGCAAAACCCCTGAGTTTCCCAGTGTTAGGATTTCTGCATGGTCTCCCAGTAATATCATGCATAGAAACGAAATGCGGCTTTGACTGGTGGAATTTTTGCCTTGGTTTCAACTGGGTTTAAGTCAAAAGTTTATTTTAAAAGACGAGAAGTCAGGGGAGCTGTGAGAAATGGGCAGCGCCGAAATGGTGCCCAGTAACGCGGCTCATCTCCAGTCTCATCGCATCACTGGGCAGTGCTGGTGCCTCCCCGAGCACGTTGCATTTGCCAGGGTATTTGGTGAAAAATTGCACCCAGGAGTTGTGGGCAAGTGAAGCTTAAATCCCTGTCAGTTCGTGGGATAAAAAGGCTTTTCATGGGACCCATCCATCCAACAGCAATCGAGCTGCTCTGCTCAAAATTCAAATGCTCATAATCAAATTATGAAGTTGCAAATCTTAAAGTTGTCAAATATGTGCTAAGAATGGACAATTTGAGAAAGCTGTCATCTGTTCACAGAGATGAGGAGCAGAGACTACGTTCTCTCCTACTTTTTCAGTATGTTCTGTTTTGTAAGATGAAATCTATAGATACATTAAAATATTCGTGTTTTAAACCGTACCATGGGACTTTGGTTTCAACATGGAAACACTCCTTTGTTTCATGTAATAGTAAAACCATTTCTAGAAGCTGATTTAAAACAAGACTCCCTTGATCATTTCAGAGCCTCGCTCAGTCGGAGTGTCTGGGTCTTTTAGTAATATCAGGATAATATTGCAACTCCAAGGACATACCTAACAGGGAAATCATTCAGTTGCAGATGTTTGTATGTGATTAAATGGTCTGGCTTCAGCCCTATTTTTAGAACTCTTCTTGTGTTTTGGAGTAAAAATTGTAAAAACCTACTTAATTTATTTTAATGGTCTTAATTGCCATTTCACTCATGTCAGAAAGACAAATCTAAGACACACAAATGTGCAGAAGCTGAAAATGCCTTAAGCAGCCTCTGAAATTGCTTCTGACATACATAAAGCATTTCGCTGAGCAAATTTCAGGTCAACTGAAATTTCCCATTCAAATGTTTCTCAGCTACATCCATAAAACAACCTGTATGCTGGATTTTGAACAATCACCTGTTCGGTCTCCCCAGTTCCGAGATTCCAAACAAAATTGTTGAATCGGGATGGAAAAGAATAGCCTTCTAATTAAATTATTTAGTGTTCCTCAGTGGTTTTCTGGTTTTTAATTTGAAACAGCATTTTACAAGAGATTTGCATTGTAACAGTGATTGGAGTGATGCAGCTTGAGGATCCAGAGGATCCAGCATATTATCTTTGTTTGGAGCTGCAGTTGTCTTGGGGATGAAATCATGTTTCAGTTCTAGTAGTCGATACTACTATGGAGCTTAGTCACTCAAGAAGCAGCGTTAATGATACATCAGTCAAACTCTCTTCTGTATAATCCTAATTTTGTTCTCTTAGTGTGTTTGCCAAAGGTGGAGGTAGGAGGTTCATTGAGTGGATTTTAAATAATAGCACCGTTTCTGCGTGGATTTTTAAAAGCTATACCCCAGGTAATTGCCTTGTTTGAAACAATGCCTGGTGTGGATGTGCACACAGCAGAAGTGGATGTTCCTTGGCTGAGCCTCCGCAGTGAGGTGGCCCAGGAGCTCCCTGGCAAAGATGGATTTTGGTTTCCTGGGTCCAAGACATCTACCATAACCAGAGTTCTGGCAGCTGAAGTTAAAATGTCAGCAGAGTAAGGAGTTTCTGGTGGAGCCCCCATGCAGCCACCAACACCTGAAGCCTGCACCCCAACCCACAAATTAACAGCAGGAACAATCCAGCCCCATTTCAGGTGGCTGCTGTTCTGTCCTGGTGTCCACATGTGAGCTGTGGTTGTTATCACAAGCTGTCAGGATGGTGCAGAGCAGGGTCTTGCAAACACAGCAAATGAATAATCATTTTGTGGTCAACCTAACCTGAGAAAGAGAGATTAAACCACCTTAATTTCCCAGCAGCCCCTATTCCTGTGGTGAATGTGCAGCACAGCTTTGTGAGCCTCTCACAATCTTATTCACAAGGAGCATCTGCTGTTATAATATTTGGCTTGGGAAAAAAAATAAAACCCACGTTAAAAACACCACTTTATCCACTGAACCTGCTTATCTTGGAGCACAATCGTGCCGAAGTTAATAGGACAGCTCACAACAGAGCGCTCTGCAGGCTCTGTGACATCAAGATAGGAAAGCAAGTAATGTACTTGTAATTTAAATTTATTCAAAGAGTATTTTATTAAACACTTCAGCGAATGAATCTCTTTGAACCCATTGTGTCTACTGCTTTTAGTATTCCCTGTCCGCCATTTACTTTTCGAGTGGTGCAATTGGCTGTTTAATTCACGTGGAACCACGTGTCCCTCCTGACTGGGTGGCTGGAACATTTGTAAGTGGGAGGAAGGATCGAGTAAATCATTTATGACTTGAAAAAACTTGCACAAATGCCCACTTGCACGGTTATTTGCAGGTCTTCCAGCTCGGGTGAAAGCGCACGAGCACGGGAACGGCAGCACCCGCATGCGCTGCTTCCATGGATACTCCTGAAAACAAAATAAAAATGCTTATACAAATGTTTGAGGCAAGTAAATAAAGGCAGGCTGCTCTCCATCAATGCTGCAAATTCATGGCTCGTCCAAAGAGAATGAATATTCTTTAGTATTCTCCCAGCACAGCTATGAAGTCCCAGCAGCACGGCTGTTGGTAACAAACTAAATACAGTACTGGCTTTATATTCAAATGCAATGGTCAAAGTTTTATTTGGTGAAGAGCAAATGTGAAATCACTCTAATATCAGACACGACCTGCCTTGGAGGTTGTGTCCACAGGCACGTTAAGAATTGGTTGGTCTTTTCAATCTTTCTGGGCCTGTGCTCGCACTCTGAAAGGAAAGAAGCTGCAAATGGAGAATACACAAATGGGTGTCTCTGCTGTGAAAATCTTGTTCTGTGATGCACAGCCTATTCCTGGGACAATATATATGTATTTTGTGCACTGCTGAAGGGTGAACTTTCATCCATGAATCTTTCAAAACAAATACAAACCCATTAGAGGAGGACCTTGCTGAGGTTCAGCCCATGCCTTCATTCTTTCTTTCCATACATCCTGCTCATGCCATCTCCGTTTCCTTGGTAAAACATGTGCTGCTGGGAAAGTGCATGTGCTTTACTCATTGTTTTTAAAAGCAATGCTTAGCACTCCAGTGTCAGCGTTGCAACAGTGGCTGAAACAGCACCGTTTTGCCAGCAATTGATGCAGTGTGGGGGTTTTTTAACAGCCTTTTTAGGTTA